GGTTAAATTTTATCCACTTGTTGGTCTTCCTGTCTACTTTCTGTTGTATTTTTCAATGCCTGTCGAAACTTTTAAAATGCTGAAAAGGATTTTATCGTGTACAGAATTGTCAACTCTATAATTCCAAGCAACTTCTAGAGCTATCTAATTTGGTTTAGAATTCTAAATCATTTTTTATCAGAAAAGATCATGTTTTTTATAAACGAAAAAATCGCGTATTTCGATTTTTGTGCTGACAAAATAGAACCGTAGAAAAAAAGCAAAATCATATATTTTGTTCAGTTTTCGATTCTCTATCGAACGATGTGATGATCGGAAAAAGAAATCGGAATCTTATCAGTGGCGCAAAAAATCAAATACCAGTCGAACTACACTCATGAAAATACATTTGTAACCATGCATCACACGACAGAATGCTTTTCCTTTCTGTTTTTATGTTGAGAGCGAAACCTTTGTGTGTGGAGTAAATATTCTCATTTTAATTGAAAATTTCTCTTTGGCAAATATTAAAAAAATTGCTTTTTCATTGCAAATGAGTGAGATACAGCAATCCGATTGAAATTTGTAGTGAATGTGACGAGAAAGCTGAGTGCTATTGTGTAGAAGATGAGTCCAGTTTTTGTGATGAATACTACTCACGAGGGAATCTCCCGACATGCCCACTTCCAATTCAAATGCTTTGTACATGGATCGATAGAACTCAGTAAGGTATTAAATACCCTAAAAGGATGCGAGCCCATGGCTCTTGAAGACCCGAACCAGTTTTTTAAAACTCTAAAAAATAACCAAAACCTTTTCTTAGTGAGACATGATTGTGGCCTGCAAATTTCTGATTACAATGAGACGTCTTCCAGTTCTACACGATCTTTCTTTGCAAAGTTATAGAATTTACAACAAAAGCCTAAACTAATTTCTTATTTCTGTAGCTTTGAGCTGACAATGAATATTTAGGACTTTTCTTGTAAATTCGATAACTTTGCAAAGAACGGCCGTGTAGAACTGGAGGACGTCACATTGCAATCAGAAATTTGTAGTCCACAATCATGCGTCATTAATAAAAGGTTTTGGTTATTTTTTAGAGTTTCTGAAAAACTGGTTTTCCAGAAAAACAGGTCTTCAAGGGTCATGGGCTCGAATCCTTTTAGGGTATTTACTACCTTACTGAGTTCTATCGATCCATGTACGAAGCATCTGAATTGGAAGTGGACATCCCGGGAGATTCCCTTGTCAGTCGTGCATGCGCTGAAAGCATGATCTCTTCGTTTGAACAAACCTGTATGAGAACGAAATCATTCCCAGAAGTCCGGTTTATTTTAAATCGAAGAAAAATGTTAGCTCTATTTATGTAAAAAGTTTGAGCTCTTTATCTTATATGACTGCCGACATATGAGAGATGTCGCATTTTTCAACAGTTGATCGAAATTTTAAAATGCTCGTTTCTCAGCAACTCAGAAATATTTTTTCAAACGGAAAGCGCCATTTTACTCAGAAATATCTATATTTTCTTTTATGACTGGTTCGAACGAGTTCTGTGAGATACGACTGAGCAGTGTCCGTCGTGGCTTGTGTGAAATGGCTCATAAAAGCGCGAAAAATAAGAACATACGAATCATGTCTTGGCGAGAAAATTTCCCAACAAAATGTTGAACTAATATTTTGAAATGTTGAACTGTTGTATTATATATTTAAGAATCTGGCAGATTCTTAAATATATAATAGAACATTAACGGGTGCTTCAGAAGAAATGGTCCTCTTGGTATTTTTGTCTTTTCTCCTTTTCTCTATCGATTTGAGCTGCTTCTTTTTGCAAAAGATGCGCCTTGAAATACTCTACAAAATCATCCCTAAACTATAATTTTAGAACTTCAAGCAAGTAACTTCGTTCTCCAGCGCGCCATATGCTCTAAAGAGAATTTTTACAGACCACGAGAAAGAGCACATTTGAAACTTTGTCAAAGCTATTGCGCTAATCCTTTTGTAATGATGATGAACCAGTAAATCAGTAGATCAGTAACGAGTGAAGTTGTTTTGGCAGTACTGTATTAATGTACTAAACTATATTTTTGCGCTTTGTCTCTTTTATTAATAAACTAGAACTGGTTTGCATTCAAACGTCTCTTTATCGCTGAAAATCCAAGTTTTCCGCTTGCAAGCGAAACCAGATTCGTCAATAAAGGGTGCAATACACACCATTGCGTCCGTCTCATCGAGATCTACTAAATGGTGTATCACAGTCATACTTTTGTGTCATACAAAAAAAAATTTTCCACGCATAACCTCGGGGATTTCTAAAGTATCTTGAAAAACTTTCGTATCTCAGCCATCTGGATAGTGGCTGTCGGGAACTTCTTTTCTCTTCGAGTTCTTGAAGTACGTTAGAAAATTCTGATAGTCTGAAACAATAGCCTTGTAGTTGGTATTAGCTACGAGCAACATAACCGTTTGGATCCATACATTTTTCCCAACTTCTCTTTGGAGAACCGGTTTCCCAGAAATCCCCCAAAATGGTAGCAATGTTTTTCCAACATGTTGTAATTATATTCTGTAAATTTTAATCAAAATGAGATCTGTCCCAGCTCGTCATGACCTTTCTTTGCAAAGTTATAGAATTTACAAGAAACGCACTAAATGTTCATTGTTAGCTCGAAGCTATAGAAAGAAAACAGAAAAAATTAATTTAGGGCTTTTCTTGTAAATTCTATAACTTTGCAAAGAAAGGTCATGGAGAGCTGGGAGGGATTTCATTTTGTTCAAAATTTACAGACTATAATTACAACATGTTGGAAGAACATTGCTACTGTTTCGCGATATTTCTGGGAAACCGGTTCTCCAAAGAGAAGTTGGGAAAAATGTATGGACCCAAACGGTTACCATATTCGTAATAGCGTCCTTGATTACATATAAATAACCAGGTTTGAACAAAATCAGGGTATATCGCTTGGGTTGGTTCCCTCGTTAGTACTAAAAGTGCGAAAACTGTGGCTATGAGGCACTAAAAGAGACTTCCTAAAAAAATTTTGTTCCGACTTTGATTGAATGTCGAACTGGATCCCATTCTGAAAAAAATTGTCATTAAAAACAATGGCAGGGAAAATTAAGGATATCAAAACCACTAATAACCAAATGCGAGTCAGAATCGTTACCACTCTCAATAATATTATTGATATAAGCTTTATTCTGTCAGACTACAAGCGGAAAAATATTTCATTAAAGTATTTTAAACTAAAACTAACAAAAAACACAAAATCAATTTTGTACGAATAGAGATCTGAACACATGAACTAAGCTTTGCAGAAATTGCAAGACCAAATCCACTGTTCCATGTCTACAATTAATATTATTGAATTATTTTCTAAGAAACTTCTTGAAGCTTGTCCTATTAACGTCAAAAGACCAGAATATGAAGTTGTCCTGACTAAAATCAGGGATCTTAAAAAGCGTCGTGCGTGTGTGTGTGTCTTTGTCGGCAAAACGAGAAATTGCCATCAAATATTCGCTGGGAGTCATTGCACGAGAAAAACGACAGATTATCATAAGACCATGCTCAATCGATGTCTCAGATTTGCTTCTAACTAATCCTGTCTTGTTCAGCACGTGTGAGAACCTATAAATCCAAATTTTGAGCCTTCGAAGGTCAACTCGAACACTGTGTCTGAATGCATTCGCTTTATGCATGTTTATCAACTCTGGTATCGTTTGTAGAATATTGTAGAGCTTACTCTGCAGTGAAACAGTAAAAAGAACTAACATATGAAAAATTGGTAAAAACTTATCGTGTAAGAATCTGACCAATTAATGTAATTAGTGTATAATCAATTAGGCGGAATCTGTTTAAATTGTTAATTAATATTTGCTCAGACAGATTCTGGTACAAAAGTTGTGTAAACTCTTTAACTTCAAGTTAGATCCAAAATCTTACAAAACTTCCATAAATCTTCAAAAGTTTTTTGAAGATCTTAGACAAAACTTGAGACATCTTTAAAGATTTATTTGCACAAATGAGCGAATATCAATAGTTAAGTTTTATTTTTATTGCTGTATTTTGTCTGTTTGTACAAGATACTTGGGAAAAGATGAGGATGTTTTAGAAAGGAGAGCATATAAGTTGCGTTCACATTTAGTACTGTGTTACCTCATGACGGATGGTTAACTAAGCAGTTCAAGTTTTTTATTAATCAATCAAAAAAGTAAGAAAATATTTCTCAATTGAACAGTCTAAATATAGAGTTTCTTGTTATTATTATTGTTATTATTATTATTTGATAAGTACTTTATTTCTTCTCTTTCATCGTTTGCACGACATATTAGTATGTTCAACAAATGAGGAATTAAAAATATTAATACTAATAAATATAAACGGTCCCCATGGAAAATTGAAGCAGCTCAATTCGTTGTTTAATATAGAGTAATTATAATTGTAAACATGCATTCATAGTTTTAGATGGAAAATTACTATCTTTCTCCCATTCATACAGTTACTCGACATCTTCGACAAAAAAATAATTTTTTACTCTCTCTCTCTCTTCATCTAACTTCCAACGTTCAACAAGTTCAAATTTGTCAATCTGATATTTTCTCGTTTTACATTATCTTTCTCACTTGGTTTGAACTCGCCGACAAATAGTTCACAAACTGACTGTTTGTTACTTCTCACATTATCAAATGGAAAAAAAGAATAGGAGATAAGCTTGATGTTGTTGAGATATTTTTCTTTCTCTCTATGCAATTAATAAAAAGCACAACTTTTAATGTCAAACAAAAAAAGATAAATTTGTGACATAAAACGACTGATAGATATACTAAGGCAGATATTTCCTTATAAATCGCAAAGGGAGAGATAAAGAAAAGAAATTGTTATTTTTCTACAGAATTAGAATCAAAAATATTTTTTATTCTGTTAGAAAAAAAAAGGAGAATGTAAAAAAAAAAAAGTTATCCCGTTTCATATAAAAAATTTATTTTTCCAGAATAACAGGGTGTCTGTGAGTGTGTATGTGAGAATGTTTGAACGTTTTTCACTTTATAAAATTGATAATATTCATCAAATACCATTTGATTCAAAATTATATTCAAAATATAAGTATGGTGATCATATTCAAGCTAAAAAATTTGGTGATCAATTGGCTCATGCATTCATTAATCAGTTTCATTCATTTATATTAAAGGGAGAACAACAATTTATTTGTATATCATCACCTTTCGGTTGTGTACCACCAGCAGCATTCTTCATATTTAAAACATTTTGTGAAATACTTAATGATTTTTTAGTAGAAAATGGAAGAGAACAAATAGAAGAACGAAAAATTGTACGTGTTGGAACAATATCAGAAGATTATAGTCTGTTATCAAGAAGTGAAAGATTGATGAGAATTAATGAAGAGAGATATTTTATTGATAAAAATGGACTTGAAAATAAATTTTTACTTTTTCTTGATGATATTAGAATAACTGGTGAGTTGTGAACTTTACATTTCTTACCCATTTCATTTATTTGATCCTGACTAGATTTAGATTTAAGTTTAATTACTAGACAAAATAAATACTCAGCACACTGTAAAAAAGGCGTGTAAAATGGCCTAAACGTTTTGTTTGATTATTGTTCGTGTATATAAACATCATAGTATACGTGTACTGTTACTGTATATATTTCGATTACCTTTTCGACTCGCATCTTTTACTTCTTATAAGAGAAGTATCAAGGCTATGCCTAGAGCCCTGCAGGTCATACATAACCTGTCCTGTCCTGGCAGTTTAGGATAGGTTATAGGTTACGAAAATTTTTGCAGGACAGGTTACACTACCCGTACCCTGTTTTCAACCTGTAAAAAAAATCTGTAAAGGGAAAGAAATAAGAACTCGAAAAATAGTTTTTATTAGTCGAAAAAAATATTTAGTACATCAGGAAGAGTATTGGAAACACGAAGACAGTCGTTGAATCCAGATGTTGTTGACGATATATTATTGATTAGAAAGTTTAGAGATGTACCTTTTGTTGTTATTAGCAATGCCACACGATTATGGCGTGGCATGAGCACCGGTACGCATCGCCGATGTCGATCCTTTGTTTTTGCAATGCCACATCGAATTTTTTTATAGACCGGTACAGGAAAAACAATGCAGCATGCCCATGTTGCATTATACTTTAGCAATGCGACATCTTTTCTGAAGTGAAAAATTAGTATTGTATGGCATCGCCCGAGCATCGGAGCGCACCGATCTCTGGCGCTGCCGGTGATATATGGCATGGCATACACACCGATGTGTATCGCCGATGCCAACCATATTTTTTGCGATGCTGCATCCAATCAAATTTTTCTAGATTATCCGCTCTTGTCACTTTTACCAGAGTAGAAAAAGAAGAGAAATGTCTTAGAAATGTATGAAAGTTTATCTACTATTGCATTGGATTACAAATTAAAATATGTGACATATTTCCGTTTCTATATTTTAGGTATGCATGAAAAAAATATTATTGATCTTCTAGCTAAAACAAACATTCGTAACCGTCGTTTATTCATTTATTATGCTGAATTGATAAATGAAAATATTCCACCAGCATTTGAACATCAATTGAACACTTGTTTTGTTAAATCATTGGATAATATTCTTGATATAATTAATGAAAAATCATTTATTCTAAATACACGTGTAATAAAAGAAATTTTACGTTCAGATCATAAACAAATCGATCATTTTCTCTCTAATATTAGTGACAATTTATTAATTAAAATATTGAATTTATCAATTGAGAGTCATTATAATTTAATGAAAGAATTTTTACCGGCTTTAAGGCAAATTGAAAGTTATTTTAAAAATAGAGAAAATAACGTTATGAATTAAACATGAAGCTTTTTTTGTATATTTATTATTATTATTTTATCTGAGCAAGTATGGACATTATTACAAACGTTTCTAGCATTGTCTTCTTCATTGATCAACATAACTTTGTGAATAATTTTTGAATGAGGACAGATAAAGACCTGCAGATTTTTCTCATGAAAAAAGAGACGATTTAAGGTAATCAAGTGAAGAGAAGTAAATAAAAATATTTTACATGCAAGCGGCGTACTTTTTCCGAACATTTTGAGAAGACTATTACAGAAAACCGTTAATTACAGTTTTTCCACCCAGATCAAACCATCGTACTGTTTGCTACATGGACATTCTAAGAGTATTAACCGATTGGGCAAACTTTAAAAATGCTGATGGTATTATACACAGTTTTCCGGAACACTCAATATATGAAAATCTCTTTTCTTCTACGGTCTGTCCACGTAACCCCTATGACAGAGATGTCACAGCGTTACTTTTTTTTGCTCAGTTTGTTTTGACTATTACTCGGAAACCAAAAGGCTTAGAGAGTTCGGAGACGTTTTAACTTATAGAAAAAACTGTTTTCTACATTTTGAGATCTGCTCAAACTCTGGATAATCTATTCTCATAAAACTGTAATCCAAATACTGAGACCAGCCTTTTAAGCATTGAAACCAAAGGTGTAGATCTCAGAATTATCACAAAAATTAAAAAAAAATAGGTTTTCTAGAGTCTGATCGGATCTCAAAACGTGAAAAACAGTCTTTTCTATACTTTAAAACGTCTCCGAACTCTCTACGACTTTTAGCTTCGGAGTTATAGTCAAAACAAAATGAGCTAAAAACGTAATGCTGTGACATCTCTGCCATAGGAGTTACGTGGACAAGTCGTAGACGGCTTGTCCAGCTAACGATCTGCGTTTTTTCCTCTTTTCTAGGTATGCACAGGTATCAGTATACCCAATACCGAAAATACCGACTTTTTTTTTACTTGGATTTTTTTGGATTTTGTCATTTGAAATGAGGTATTTTAGCATCCTGGACAAGCAGAACGTATAAACAACACTCAGCTGTGTATTTTGAGCATATTCAGATAGAAAGAAAAGAAAAACTTTGGCTTTAAGAAAGCAAACAAAGCTCTTGTTTTCCGTCCCTGATTCATTCTGGGTGTCCAAGACGCTAAAACATCTCATTTCAAATGAAAAAATCCAAAAAATTCTAAGTGAAAAAAGTCGGTATTTTCGGT